TATTATATGGTATAAAATATTAGACAACCTAACCTAACCTATATCTAACTTATGCATATTATTTCGACCGTTTCTGCCGTTTAAACGACATAATTTGTTTTACCATACGGTATATTATACTATACATAGGTACCTACCTAATAGGCGTACGCCGTCGTATTACAAAACTAACGAGGGTGTGAGTATAGGAAAAACGGAATAATTCTGTTCCATTCCACTTGTGAGCCGAGTACCATGTGTCCATGTCCGCATTTAGAAAATAATTATAATAATATTTGCGATGACGACGACGGTTGTTGTACCGCAACTATTATAACCGAAACAAATTTACCGAATAGCTGCATAAACAGTGGCGTGCCCAAGAATTTTCAACGGGAGGGGATGTAACAAATACAAATCGCGAATAAAGAGTAAAATCGTCTTCTCTACCCAACTCGACTATGGGAATTGGTAATTTAAAAGCCTAAAAAAAAGCCAAATTCTAATCAATACAGAAAGGTTTTCCTCGTAACTCGGCTGAAATGTATGTAAATTTCGATATTAGATTACTCGTATTTTTTTAGTCAATTGAGGGAGAATTAACTCCTATTATCCTCTCATGCGCACGCCGCTGTACATAAACATATAAAAGCAGGGGCGTCATTTTAGTTTTTCAATAGGGATGCAAACGTTTGGATCAGGCTAATTTTTCCGGAAATTGTCTATTATTCCCGCTTTACATTTTAATATCAAAACATTAAATTTGTTGATATTACAATAATAACACTTATACAAAACTACAACGTGAGTTTCGACGCGCATTATTTTGTTGATGATATGTCTGTTTATTTAGCCATGATAATAATATTAACAGTTGACAATAATTAAACGTGGTAAACATTTCCTATGTGTCATTCTCACACCAGACAGTCGGTTTCCGGTAGAGGCGGCCATTGACAGCAGTTCGATTACCTTTTGTATTTTACATTTTATCAACAACAGCCCAATTTTAACATGCAGGCCAAAAAAACATTTAAAAATATAAGGCTGCCAGTGTATAGACTGAATTGACGCTCCTGTATACAGGGTGATTTTTTTTATCATGAACCAGCAATTATCTCAGAGGATTTTAAGTGAACTTGATTTCTGTTTTTCTAATCATTATGGAATCGTTTAAGCTTTATTTTAAAACAGTTTTTTATTTTTTATTCTTACTCCATACACCTTAAATAAATACATACTTTTGATTTTCAAATAGGACCCCCCCCTCTTTTTTAAACACAGTTTTGAATAGAGAATATTTTTCTAGAAATTTTGATATGCATAACACTAATATTAGATTTACCGTTTATGAGTTATAACAGTTTAAAGTTTAAACCGGAGGAGTAGAAAAGGGTCATAAATAGACAATTTATAACCCTTCCCTAGAAACCTAACCTACTCTGGAGTAACTCCATGGACTACCATGGTATATGATATACAATCAATGAGTGATTATTTAGAGGACGCCACTCCCGCATGTATTGTCTCCGTCTTATATATACATACAACATCGCAAATTTTTATTCAGCGGAATCAATTTAATGCTTTAGCTTTAATAATGTTGTTACTAAATAAAAATAAAACTTGTATCACTATTGAAGTAAATTGTTCTCGCCCTTCCATGCCCCTTATTTCCTAGACACTTATGGTACATAGGTACTGTCCTCACGTATTTTGATCAAGTATATGCTCGTTTAGATAAAAATGCATGCAAAGAGGATAATAAGAATTATATAACACCAGCGGGAAAACGGTTTTTCTGGTACTTGGTTTAGGTTACGAATTCCGAATTTGTGGTTACGAATGATTACAAATCGGTTACTAAAGTACAGAACCAATTTAAATTAAAATAGTTCAAGTTGTGGTGCCAGTGTAACGTACCTATCATATTTGCATATCATTGTCGAGCGAGCTAATTGAATTATAGTAGCCGGTGGCTCGACAGGTAGATGAATCCGCTAAACGCAGAAATGGCGAGTGTACAAATTTTAACATTATTCAAGTCTCATGAGACTAGATATTCCTCAAGCGCCTACCTATATAGAGTTTTACGTAATTTTTCATAAAATGACAGTCGACACTTATCATATATTACGTCACAACGTTATAGTCATTAACGTGAAATTTATTTTTCATAAATATATTAATTAATTAGGTATAGGTATTTTTGTCATTCTCGAACATTTTTAAAATTTGAACACGTGGGCTTTCTACAGCATTTATCGATTCATATTGTCTCTAAGCAAAAGTTTACATTTATTTAAAACCGTGTTGATTTCAGTGATTTTAACGCTAAAAACTAATCGCATCGACCATCGGATAATATAATCTAGATTTACGGCGAAACATCAGTAGTATTGCACAGATGATTCTTTAATCAGGAAGTATAATACGTAAATTGGGGTATTTTTTAGTAAATATCCACTGCGTGTCCACTCCCCCTCTCTTAAAAAAAGTTCCGTGAGCAGATAGACCGAATACTCCCCTTAACTTTCGAACTATCCCCGGTTACCCCTTTTCCCCTCAGTAAGAGTATTTCCTATTTTGAAGTAATAAATATTTTGTTACGAAATCTCACACTGCTGAAATTTAAACTACTTTAAATTAAGTTTATAACCAAAAGCGTTTAAGCTTTTTAATGACAAAAAAAATAACGAACCGATCAGTGATTACTCATGCTGTGGTAGTGTTAGGTTACGAAAAACACATAACATAGTTTGGATACCTACGCGCTTGTACACACACGGCCAATGGGTACATTGCTGAAACACCGCAGAATTCGATTGTGAAGAAATAATTTTTAATAAAACAATTCATATTTTGAGTGTAAACAAAAAAAACACATTGACGCAATTATCATAATAGTTTTTAAATTTTGTGTGTGGTTTTATAACGACGATTAATAATATTATACGTGATGAATTATAATTATAGGTAATATTCTTGTTAGTAAAAATTGAACATTTTAAATTATAGTCGGCAATTTTAAAGGCTATATTATGACTCGTTTTAAAAATTTTATTTTTCTTGATATACTTATTATTGAAGCTATCTTTTTGAAGATCGTCCCTGATCGCGGTGACCTCATCTCGCACCGGCTCTAGGTACGTAGCGTTTGGAGTCTACTAGGTTGGGAAAAAACTCGAAAACCGACACGGCAACTCCGCGACTGCAGCGGTCTCTCACTGATTAATGGTTATTGCGATAGACATGCTATAACGCCAATAACGATAAGGTTATTGCAGGTTAACCGTTACGACCCCTTATTATAATTTATTTTATACATTTAGGTATATATTATGTAGACTCTTGTAGTTATGCAGATGGGGAAATACTATAGACTATAGGCACTTTAAAAAAATAGCGTCTTACGGAATCGATTTAGCCGAAAAACAATAATAGGTACACCAAATTAACTGCAGCAATGGTATAACTGCGTAACATACTTGACAGAAAATTACGAGTACAGTGGCGTACACAGGAATTGTCGCTGTAATGGGGATGTAGCAAATATGAATGATAAACAAATCGTAAAATCGTCTTCTTTACTCAACTCGACAACGGGAATTAAAAATTGGATTTTTAATCGATAAATCAAGTTTTTTTCTCGTAACTTAGCTGAAACATTTCAAGATAAAATCACTAAACGGGTAATTGTTTATAAATTGTTGTATTAAGACGCCAACAGAAGGATATGACCCTTAACGCTATTCCTTGCGCACGCCACTAATCAAGTACCAATCAAACAAATTTGTACATCTAATTATAATAAATTATGCAAGAAAAAACAAATTATCTGGCAAATATCTGCCAAGAACAACTCTTTAAACATTGATGGAGAAAACTTATAATGTATGTAGGTAGGTTACTCATGTTCTGTCATTTGCCACGACGGAGAATCATTACACCAACGGACATTTCACAGTACACTACTGTGATGACAAATCAAATCTGTGGTTTTTAATAATATTGTATATAGGTACTGTATTCTCGTCAGTTAAGATTTCCTCGATAAATACCTAAATAACTGTTATCAATGTCGTTATAAATCTGTACGCCGTTGGCCACTGCTCGCCTGCATGGGTAAGTAAAACATAAATTGTCCGTAGAAAAAAAATGCATTTTAAATTTAATTTGCTTAACATTAATTCATCACCGCATCACAACTTTATGTAGTGCTTCAAGACGTTACCACTATTGTGTTATTATATGTACCTGAATATAGGTCACTTTTTTGTAATGTTTTCTGGATATCGCGGAGGTCCTACTCGGATATTCGAAAGTTTATTTTGTACGGTGTAACGTGGATTTGTTGTATACAATCTAATAAGTAATAGCATGTACCAATAATTAATTTGTTCGCGGAATTCGCAAGCGAATGAACATAATGCCCGTTTATTTCACGTGAATCACCGCGTAAACGTACCTAAGTGCCTACCTACCTATAGCCACGTAGGTACGTATTTTATTATGTTCGTATATTCGTGGCTCGCGAGAATTTGGAAAACGCTGAATCGCCCATTTAAATAAGTTAGTTTTCGGGCAGGGAGGAGATCATTAAACACCTGTTGGAAAATTAGCAAACAATTTTCTTTTTACACTGAAAAAAATAGATACTTTACTTGATGTGTGCGCGTGAATAATAACGTTAGGTTAGTCTCTCTGCGTGACCGGATCTCAACCAACTCAAAGCACCGAGTCAATAACAAACACCGGTAGGAAAACATCACATCAGTACCTATTAATAATACACTCACTTCCGGTTTTTGGATTTCACATGTTAGCCGTTATCGGTTTTCTTAACTACTGATAAGTGCGCGTTATCATACTAATATGTGATACTAACTGATCAACTGGACAATATTATTCGGGCACTTGTGGAAAATGATTTCAAATTTTTCCATCGACATTCGGAATTCATAAACTTTATATTTAATTAATAACTTTGTAGATACCTACCTTCAAACACCTTTCCCAAAATGGCTTGTGGCGGATTAACACCAAATGTATTCATTTCGGAGATAGACCAGATTATGAACATTCTGGAACGGGGTACTATTGTTACTCGATTTTACTTGAAAAAGCGTCCAGAGAAACGAACATTACGTTTACGTAAGGAAACGCGACAATTACTGTGGTCCAGGACGACTGGCCCAACCAACAAAACTATCGATGGAAATTGTAATTATATATAACTTTATGTACCTGTAAAATATAATATACCTTAATACTTTTTACAAAATATTTCATATAATTAAACATAAATCTGTTTAAGTGGATCTTAGGGACGTCAAAGAAATACGACACGGCAGAAATAGTAAAGAATTTGACAGGTGGCCGGATGAAATCAAAAAATTTGAAGCTACTAAATGTTTTATCATATTCTATGGTAATGAATTCAAATTGAAAACTCTGTCAATAGTTGGTATGTTTATTATTTCATTTTTATTATTGTTAACACATTTTGTAATAAGTGTTTTAATGTATCATATTACTATACAGATATCCTCATAATGCTATATTATAATAATATAATATAGATATCTGTGTTTTACAACAAAGTCTGTTTAAAAATTTATTTCAATTTGCATATTTTTAACATCAATAAATAACTGTGATAGCTTAAATGTTTATTTTGATTAACATGTGAGATGATTTAGAAATAATTAAATTAAACATTTTAAAATAGGTACACATATTAGTATTGTATTGAAATATAATGATTAATGTATTTGAAAATCTTTACTCATCTAAAGTGGCATCATTCATTAAATTGTCAATTTGATTTTGTGTAATTATATAAAAAAAAAACATTATTTTTTATATTGTACTATAAATCCCATGACAGCCAAATTAACATATACAATAACCATAACTATGTCTTGTTACTACAAAAACTATTAAATTATATTTAGTGTAAACATTAAGATGACATGTTCAATATTTGTTGTTAAAAATAATAACAATGTTTAAATACACATGTTGATATATCAAATATCCAAAGCTAAAAAATTTTACATGGACTGCATTGTTTAAAAGCTCAAAATAAACCAGCTAAATAACCTTTTAAATTTAAATTTTGTAATTAATCAAAAACATTTCAACAGCTTCATTTGTTGCTTTTAAATTTTAAAATAATAATACACTATTGTTTGCTGTTCTAGAGCTCAAAGGCTGTCATTCACATTTCTATGGCACTCTATGGCTTCATGTTTTTTTTTTACCATAACAATTTTGATTAATTTTTGTATATATTTATCTTTAGTGTTAATATATATATATATATATATAAGTGTGTAACAATAAATAAATTTAATGATATTTGTTCATTAAAAAAATAATTTGTTTACATATTTTATTAATGTTATTTTTTGATATTGAATTGAAGCATTATCTGAACAAGAATGTGAACTTTGGCTCAGAGGTTTATATCATCTTGTAAATGATACTGTATGTGCTCCATATCCGTTGCAAGTTGAAAGATGGTTGCGTAAAGAATTTTATAATATGGAGAATTCTAGACAAACGTTAGTACACAACTCAATAATCACATTACATTATTTGTTTTATTTATATATGTATAAAAAAAAAAACCTAAGTATTACTTATATTTTATAGAGTAACGTTAAAAGATGTCAAGTCATTTTTGCCTCGTATTCATTGCAAAATTTCAACTAGAGATTTGCGAGAGTTGTTTGAACAAATCGATACCAGGAATCGCAATGAGTTGAGTTTTGATGAGTTTTTTACTCTTTATAATAAGCTTATCTACAATCCAAAGGTATAAATTATATTTTATTACACATATTACTTTATAATTATGTAATACCTGACTGCATTTTATTAGATTTTCAAAGATTATTTCCAAGTGTATTTGGAATCTGATTCAACATTTAATGCTAAAACTCTCACTAAATTTATAAACAAAGAACAAGAAAGCTTTTGTCTTGAAGTAGAACTTGTTGCTAAACATATGAAAGAATACATCAAGTTTTGTGGAAAAGATTTGAATGATAAGCTACAATTCACGCCAACTGAAGTATGCATATGTTATTTTATGTAAATAGACCAAATACTTAATTTAATTACACCAATAATGAGAATTACACCAAACTTAATTAACTTGTAATTATCCATTTTAATAATAAAATTAACTCAAAATTAAAAATACACTGTAGTATTTAGTAATATAATATTATACTTTTATCTAATAAGGGGGCGGATTACTTTTAAGATATCATAGTATTATCTCTTATCAAAAACAAAAAAAAAACAGAATTATTGGAATGAACATAAATTAGGTGGTGTATTTTACTTTTAATTTCTAATATTATTATATATGATTATTGTAAAATAAATATAACATAAAAATACATTATGGTATAGAGTAATAAATTATTATATAATATTAAGAGCGTAATGAGTAAAGCAAAATATATGCATAAAAAAAAAATAACTTATTCTAATGAACTCAACATAAGTAGTTGTTTTAAAACTTTCGTTTGACTTGTTTCTCGTATTTCACCAGCTAAAAACATCTCGTCTACAACAGTGTACACTTTGTAGAAGTTGAACACTAGATCTAGTTCACATACGTTGTGGAAATATTCGTTAAGCACTTCAACGAAATTGTGTATAGCTTCCAGGTAACAAAGATTGTTATCGCCCACATCCACGCAGATGCAAAAATATAAGCCGGCATACCTTCGATAAATGATTTTGAAGTTTCGAAATTCTACAAAATTTGTATGTTTCGCGTCTCTGACTGTTACAACTGCATGCACTTCCTCTATCAGCTTTTGTTTCTCATCGTCATCAAAGTTCATGTACCATTTTGCTAGTCTCGTTTTCCCAGCTCTGTTTTGTATTAAAATAAAGCGAATCATTTTGAACTCTTTAAGTACAAGATTAATTTAAAGTTTAATTTTTAACAAAATAAATCGTGTCAGCACTAAACACTGTCAACAAAATAATCAATACAAAATTATTATTCTGAAAACTGTTATCATCTACCATTTTTCTGCGTAACATTGATATCTCGACACTGCGACCACCAAATGATAACAGTTTTTTTTTATTCGTTTTCTTATTTCATATTTCCGTTCCCAACTTTCATCATTAACCTGATTTTTTTTCCCTCGTTAAATTTGATTCTTTGATACTCTTTGGAATTAAGTTTACTCATAGACATATTATAAAATAATATTACCATTTTACGATATTTTGTGAATATGTGGATACCCATAGAAAAAAAATTAGGTATTCAATTCAAAGATAAAAACCAAAATAATTATTTATTTTATAAAACATTGTAATGCCATTTTAATTTTAAAGTTTATTTTGTAATAAACTATAATATAAATTTAAAATTTCAGAAGAATGTTTTATGAAATTACATAGGTAAATACTTTTAAATAATAATCTGTAGATACATAAACGTGCGCAGGTCTTTTTAGCAGGGGAGGCAACAATCATTGAAACCAAACCTTACACTTAAATTATATGTACAAATATTCCAAATATTTAAGGAAGGGAGATTTAATCCTTGTCAATATAATATTGATTTTGAATACTTAGGTAGTATTTTACTTGATGAGCATTTTATTTTGGGATGCTTTGTTGAGTTTTCAGTGGGGGAAAGGGCAGTTGAAATACTCCAAAAGCTCCTCCTTGTGCACACTTATGTGTAGATCTTCTAGTTCTAGACTTGCTTACTCTTTTTAATAGTATTCTATTTTTACAGCAACTTGTTTTCAAGTAATATATACCTTGTTTTCAATTCATATTTTATTTTATTTTTATGTTTCACTGAAATTTACAAAAATAATACTTAAGTTTAGTAAGTATTAAAGATAAAAATTAAATAAGATTGTATAGTAACAATAATTAATAATAAAATAAAATAAATTAGTAAAAGCAAGAAAATTAATATTTAGTAAAAATATAAAAATTGACAAATTAAACAAAAAACATTGTGTGGTCTGAGTCTAAGATTTATAGTACACTATAACTAGAACTAAACATTTAGAAGATTAGGGTCCGAGTTAATTGTAAGCATGTTTTTTATAAGAATTGAACTATTACAATTCTTTGAATGTCTTTCTGAGTATAAAGGAGCCACAACACAGATCCGCATTCTAAAATCAACCGTACTAATGAAATATATAATATTTGGAAGCAATTAGTTTAGTCAAAGTCCGAACACATTATGACAAATAAAACCCATAATACATAGTGTTTTGCAAGTACTGAGCTTAACAATGAAATATTGTTTCAGTAATGATACAAATTATAATGGGTACCTGTAATGTAAACATGTAGAATAATATTAGTTTGAAAAAAAAACAAATAAAACTTAAATGTAAATCAATTTTCTGATAAAAAATAGTTTAAAAAAAAATATTATTTTAAGTTGACATTTTGATTAAATGTTTTAATATTTTTATTATAGTTTAGTGGATTGTTGCTCTCCGTCTTGGTAGTTGTATCTTGATTAGTTTACCTTTTAATAATAATTTATATACAAATATTACAAATATTTATATTTTATTTTTATTTGAATCAAAAATTTAAGGATCTTGTAGAGTTTGTTAGATAATGTTATTTATATTATTACTTTTTATTTTTTAGTTTATGGACTATTTATTTTCAAAACAAAATGAGTTATGGGATCAATATTACGACAATACATATCAAAACATGAGCAGACCGCTTTCACATTATTGGATATCATCTTCTCATAATACGTAAGGATTAACAACATGGATTATTATTTTTTCGCTTATTAGCTTTTTTGGTGTTTCTGCAGCCTATAAAGCAGGTGCCAAACTACGGCACTGGATAGTAGACACTATGTTACTTGACAAATATTTATATTAAATAATTAAATAGTTGTTTTTTTTTTAAAATTTGTTAGTATTTTTAATTGTTTAATTAATTTTTTTTTTGTTTTGTATTAGATTTAGATAAATTAATAATTTTATTTATCTTGTAGTATTTATTTTTCTAAAAATGTGCTTGTATTATCTTTTTAAAAATTTTACTACAGAAGTTGTTAAGATTTTATGAAATAATTAAAATAGTGTTAGACATGTGAACATTAATAATTTTAGGAATAAAAAAATAAAGATAAATGAGTAATTATGCCAATGATGAATTTTAACATGTGTTTAAATTATCATGTAAACATATTAATCATTTGCATTTCATAGGTGTTTAAATTAATAGCTTTAGTATATATTTTTATTTATTTATTTTATGAAAAAGTTTCCCCTGAAGCAATAGCCTATATAAGTATTATTGTTTAATTGATTATTATTTTTAGTTATTTAACTGGAGATCAAGTATCTAGTGAAAGTTCAATTGAAGCATATGCAAGATGTTTACGTTGGGGTTGCCGCTGTATAGAATTGGATTGTTGGGATGGACCAGATGGATTACCAATAATATATCATGGACATACATTAACAAGTCGCATCAAATTTTTAGATGTCTTAAAAACAATTAAGGAACATGCTTTTATTTCTTCTCCGTAAGTTAACAAAAACAGTATTCAGAATGTAATATCTTACTTATTATTTTTATTTTAGGTATCCAGTTATTTTGTCCATAGAAGACAACTGTTCAATACCACAACAAAGAAAAATGGCATCAGCTATGATTGAAGTATTAGGCGATATGTTACTCACACAACCAATTGATCGCAATGAAAATAGAATGCCATCGCCTGAACAACTTATGTATAAGTTTATATTAAAACACAAAAGATTACCAGAGAAAGTTGACGGCGATCAATCTATTACTATTAGACATCACGATGATTGTAAAGACATGTGTTTTATTTATTAGTAGTGTTTATTTACACATTTTTTTCTTTTAGCTAAAGACACAGATTTGAGAAACACAAAAAAAAATGGAGTACTTTATCTAGAGGATACATTAGAAAAAGAATGGAGGCCACATTTTTTTGTTCTGTCTGGTAATAAACTCTACTATACAGATCTCTGTAAAACAGATATGGATAATGATGATGAAGCAGATGGTGGAGAGTTTGATTCTTTTGATGTATCTAGTTCAAATCGTTTAAGAGAAGTAAGTCACATGTATTTATCGTGTCTCACCATGTTCGACAGATTTTTTTAAAGCTATTAATATTAAATATTTAAAAAAAATTGTTTTCAATAAATTTGTCACAATCGTTGCACGGTAATTCTTATCACAACAGTAGTTTTTTGAATATTAATTGTTTTCACACTTTTTTTTAAAAAATTAAAATGGCTTTTACTAAGAAACTATTCATCGGATATGAATGTGTGTTACCTTAGATTTTTAGAATAATATCTTTTACAAAATGAATATTTAAAATATTTTATAAAGTGAATAAAACAATTTTTTTTTTATGTTTAGAGAATGCAAATAAAAACTAAATTTTTTTCCAAATCAATGTCTTACTCAAAAACAAACCTATTGAAAAAAATTAATTGATAAATATTTAATATTAATAACTCTAGAAAAATCCGTCAAACATATAAATATTTAATTATATTTGTATGTACTATGGATAAAGTAAAATATTGGAAAATGTGTTAAAGCAGGTCATATGTCAAGAACCAAATGGGGAATATTATTGTGTATCAAATTTGTTTGATATTTTTAAATTTATAATTTTTTTATATATATTTTACTTGACAGAAAAGGTTTGAAAATAACATTTTTAGGTGGTAATATTTATATGATTTTCTGTTAAAATTGTATTATATTTTTAAAACAAGGAGCTTATGTTTATAAATTATATTAGTATAAAATAGTATTGGGGCTGCGTTCTAGTTGCATGCCAAAGAAAAGAGTGATGTTGGTCGATAACTGAGTTGCGTGCGTTGTTTTTCTGAGTCAAGTTGCGTGTGATAAGTTATGAATTATGATTATAATCCATAGATAAGTAAACTGTATACTGTATATGATTCATAACTTGATGATCAGTCAATAGTTGTTTGATTATGAACATCTACAACAACAAAAAAAATAATAATAATGGATATCATGTACAGTGAAAAAAACAAAACAATTTTACATCATTAATGGATATACATTTTTAAATAATAACATTGAGAAATGAGTATGCACAAATTGAATGTGTAAATCTTATTTACATTAAAATCACTTAATCTAAGTAAAAATTTTAAATAGTAAAATCAACAAATAATAGTATTTTAGGAGAAAAATTTTTCGCAAAATTTAAAATTAAAAATCGCGCTCATAACTTGACTCAGTCTCTAAAAAACTGTGCACGCAACTCTACCTATAATTTCCTCACTTAATTCGGAAACACCAAGTATTGGAACATAATATAATTATAATATTTAATATTTTTAGGGTATACCTAATGATGAATTACATTTTGGTGAATATTGGTTTCATGGAAAATTAGCCCGTGGTAGAAATGAAGCTGAAGAACTATTGAAACAATATCAACATCTAGGTCCTGGTACATTCTTAGTGAGACAGAGTGATACATTTGTTGGTGATTATTCACTTTCGTTCTGGTTAGTAAAGAATTTTTTAAAAATATTTAATCAGACATTTATAAATAAATATATTTTTAGGCATCATGGTAAAGTTAATCATTGTAGAATACGTTCAAAACACGAACGAGGTCAGATAAAATATTATTTGATTGACGGTTTAACATTTGACAGTTTATATAGTTTGATAACTCATTATCGGACACATCGATTAAGTATACAAGTACGTTATAACTAACTATTAATAAACAAATTCATGTTTATGTTTTAAATACATTTTGTTATTTTTGTGGTAACTACAACAATTATTTTATTTTAGGAATCTTTTATCATTTTGGGTGAACCAGTACCTCAACCTTTAAAGCATGAAGGGATGTTATGGTATCTTCCAACTGTTTGTAGAGCCCGGGCTGAAACATTATTAAGACGAGTACCACACGAAGGTGCATTTTTGGTACGGCCATGTGAAGACGACAAACATTTATTTACCATTTCATTTAGGTAAATTTATAAATTAAATTGCATTTTTTTTTTACTAACTAATATAAGTAATTTTTAAATTATTATTTCATTAGAGCTGAAAAACAAATAAAACACTGTCGTATTAAGTTAGAAGGACGGTTATATACTATTGGGGTAAAACAATTTGAAAGTCTAGTGGAACTCATAAAGTTTTATGAACACAATTATTTATATAAAAAAGTTAAACTGTGTTATCCTGTAAATGAAGATGTTGTACAAAGATTGGGACCTGTAAGTATAATACATATTTTTTTTTTATTAAAAACTAAATATTTAAAAATTATAATGATTGTTATGATTTATTTTTAAATTTATAATTTGAATATTATAGGTAGTTTTTTTTATATTTTACATATTATATATTATAAGTTATGTATTTAAATTATTTATTAGTTATTGGAGTAGGTAAAATTAAGTAATTAAGTTTGGAAAAGTTTGGTCCATTCCACAGTGGCATCACTTGGGGAGCTCCAGCCGATTTCTTTTGTTGAATAGTAGTTGATTTTGTACTTGGTAAGCCCATTAATCCTAAAGCTGGTACACAATCTGAACAAAGTGGTATTGGTTGAAGTGGTTGTTCTGTTTTAACTGGCAAAGGCTTAAGTTTTTTTCCATCACATTCTGTTTGTAATTGTTGACCTAGTGTAAGTTGCACAGGACCAGATGTAAGTGACTTTAAATCTACTGGTGTTTCACTGGGATTTAAATAAAACATCAATGTTTGTTGTGGTTTTGGTTTATCATACAATTCTGACTTTAATTTTTCTAACTTGTTAGTTTCTTGTTTTACAGATTCTTTTACTGCAGTTTCTTGAGAACTCTCTACTTGTTCTGAACTCTTATAGAAACTTCCACCACTCAAGATTTGCATTAAATTAAATCCGCTCTTGTTGGAATCTGCTTGTGGTTTATTTTCTACAGTTGGATATGCTGGTTGAGGCTTATTTTCAATAGTTGGATTTACTGGTTGAGGCTTATTTTCAATAAATGGATATGTTGGTTGGCGCTTATTTTCAATAGTTGGATTTACTGGTTGAGGCTTATTTTCAATAAATGGATATGTTGGTTGGCGCTTATTTTCTACAGAATATGAATATGAATTTTGAATCATATTGGTGTATATTGGTAACATTACCATTGAATTTGGGTCATAATAATAAAGTGGTTGCTGTGTAGGAGTAGGCACATTATATTTTTGATTTTCTTTGTAATTTCCATTATGGAGCATTAGATTTGGTTGAGATAAGTAAATTCCAGAATTTTCATATGTTTGTGGCTTAATGTTGTTTTCATGAACTCCATAGCCTACAAAATAACCTTGATTAAACATATTTGGTGGTTGTTGAAATTGCGGTGGTCGATTATAATCAGTTGGTATATCATAGAGTGATGCAAAAGTTGATGGATTATATCCAAATAATTTCATTGGCCTGTTTGATAATTGTTGACTTTTGAAATTTGACTGTCCATTATAATTTTGTTGATAACTTTCCTGTTGATCCATTTCTACAGAATCTGGACCAAATATTTTGAGTGGTTTATTGGATAATACATTTTTAAAGTGTAATTGAGGATCAGTTTGTTCATATTCTCCATTGATATTTTGGATCACTTTAACAATATTTTTTTTTATATCTTCATTATCATTATACTTGAAATCATTTGCATTTACTGTGTTTGGTTTTTTAAATGGAACTGTAAATTCGATTTGTTTACTTGTAGTATCTTCATCTTGAATTAATATTTGATCTGTTACCTGTTCATCTTTTATGTCATCAGTACGATCTTCAGTTTCATTTGTAGACCTTTGTTCAATTAACGGAGTGGATTTGTCAGTGCTCTGTTCTAGTTGATATTGGTCTTTGGAATCCATTTGAATTGATTTTGAAGACTTCTGTTCTTGCATATTAATATTCATTGGTTCTACAACTATTGGTGATGCTTCTAAAGGTATAGTTGAATCTTTTTTAGTTTCACTTTGTGTATTGTAAACAGGGTTATTTAAGGATATTTGATACGGTAACACATTCATTTGAGGATTGACATCAGTTAGATGTCCATTAGATTTATCAGTTCGGTAACTAACAATCTCAATATCTCTTTTAGAATCAGCTACGTTATATGAACCTTGAGCTTTTTCTCCATTGGTATACTCTTCGTATGGTTTGTTGGCTGAAGTTTTATCATTGTTTACGTAGTAATGAAAACGATACTGTGGAATCTATAATAAACAAATCCAATGTTATTAGTGATATTAAAATTAGTGTAATACTTAATAGTATAATAATTTGTAATACCAAAAGTTCAATTATTTAATTACCTCCTGTATTTTTGATATTACTGCTTTGGCTGGTATTTTAGTCGAGTCAACTCTAGTCAAAATGACAACAAATACAAATGTCTAAAAATTAAAAAAATAGTTAAAATTAGTTCATAATTTTATTTCAAGTGCACTGAAGATAAAAATAGTATATTAGATTCTTTAACTAGAGGAACATTCCCTCTTAAGATACAATTTGTCCTTAGTTGTCAAATAAATTGCATATATATATATTTGAATGCATCATAACATGTGTAACATATTTAATAATAATTGAAAACTATTTTTTAAAATTAAAAACGGCCTGTTATACAAATATTTGGTTACACGCCAGTTATATAATGCCATATTATGTATAATTTAAATGGATTTATTACTAATAATTTAGGAGATTATATGTTATTTAACTATATTTTATAAATTCTAAAATTTAAAAATATTTTATTAAGTATATATTCATTTATTATTGGGAATTTAAATAGGTATTATAAATGGCATTATAGTATATCCTTAATCATTTTTTTTGTTATACAAATCTGTTTTGTGGGTATTATTTTTCTCGCGACAAGATATAATTTTTTTGTCCCATTACAAATATTTCCAACATACAATAGTTTTACAAACAAGTAATTATTTTTGAGTAGCCATAACTTTATTAGTTTAATGGTTTTATTTATTAATATATTTTAATTTTGAGATAAAAATAAGGACGTTTTAATAATAAAAAATTAATGAAAATACCCAGTACGCCCAGACACTAGATTACTATAATATAAGTACTTAATCCTTTTATTTTTGAAATATTCATTAAATCAATGATTTAATGGTATAATAATATATATATAACGAATATAAATTTAATATTTCAGCTATCCAATTGCAAATCCATACATACTAGGCATTCTATTATTTTAATATTGATTAGTAAACTGTATTTAAGGCCTACTCACATTATGGGTAGTCCCCCCCAATAAAGGTGTGATATATATATAAAATCAATAGTAATTATGGTAGAGGTACCTACTGATATGTCTATAATTAATGGATGATTTATATTTTGCAATGGTTTGCTGGGCACCCTAATATTTCAAACCACCTGTCGCGTGTATTAAAAGGCGCGAATGAAATATATGTATATAAAAAATATTTGTAGGTACTCATTGTTGTTACCATTCAACAATAAGATTTATTTTCTTTTTATACACTTCCAGGTAGTCTGTCTACAACCCCTTTTTATAATAATGCTTCTTTGTAATACTATGTGCAATCATGCTACACCTTACACGTGAGTTACTATGTAAAATATTTTCTTTTCGTCCTATAGGTTGGTACCTTTAACAATTCAACCCGAATAAATAACTTATAATATAGCTTATAATCATTTGTTATATTTTTACCTACTAATGATTCATTTGATGATCAACAATACTATTATTATATAATGGTAATAAATACCTACTCTTTATGTATCACTAATTTTGTTTGAATTAATTATTTTTATGTTAATTTTTAACAACAATTTTACTTCATTTTAACTGGTATAGTATAAAGTATTGTGCATTATTGAAAACCTGTTTAATTGACGGTTATTTCAATTTTGTTTATTCCGTTCTTATTTTAAATTTTCGATTTTTTCATAATAGTGATTACATATATAGAACGATTCATACACAGGGTAATCCATTTAATTGCCTACACGCATTATCTGGGAAAGTATTGACTTTTTCAATTTTCTTATTTCTAATAATTTTAAAAAAACACGGATCTAGTGTTACATTAACATTATTTTTTATCAACCGTATTTTTTGGTAATTAAAACTACTTTTTGATTTTAAAATGGCAGTCTATATTTGAAATCCCATAAATAGATGGAATATTAGTTTAAATAAATGTTGGTGTTGCAATTTTTGATTCCCGTCAACTCGTTCACGAAATATTCCATTTTTAAGGTTTAGGTAGGGAAAGAGTAGTGGAGCATTATTAAAATTTTGCTCGCTGTGCGTGCTGCCATGCAAATGACGCTCCATTACTCTCCCCCTAAGGTAACTAGAAAGTTCAACATCAAAATCTGTATTAACGTATACTATATCTATGGAATTTTTAATGTAGATTACCGTTTGAAAATTTAAAAGTTTCACTCCTAAAAATAAGGGTGACAAAAAAAATGGTGATGCATTTTAGAGCTGCTTGTTTCTTTAACTGGCAAAAACAAATATATTTGTTTTTGTTAAGTTAATACTTTCCAAGATAATGAGTGTACCCAATTAAATGGATCCGGTGTAGTTTCACATATAATGAGGAAATTGATGTACGACATCGGACATTCCCATCACGGAGGTACAATATTTGTATAGGGCAGTGTAATGAAATTGACCAATAGTATACTAGAGTAATAATCAAGTGAACGGACTTGAACTCGATATAATTATTAACACCCTTCTGCGAAATATAATAGTTGGAAAATTAGAAAAAAAAAAAAATTAAAAATCGTGACGTCTTTTCATCAATCCTCTCCTGCCCGATATTCATCCTACGTCCACCCTTGTCGAACACCATTACGCCGGTGTAATATTGATAAATTGTAACTACCAAGAAATCGAAAACGAATCGCGAAATATCTATAACAGAAAGAAAAAAAGAAAAAAACCGCTTTTCTCACCTGCACGATGTTCTTCAATGCGATCGACTCCATCATCTTTCTCGGCTGGTTATTTTTCTTTTTATTATTTTTTATTTTTCGACGATGCACCCGCAGACGCAGAACCCCGCCGTCTGAATGGAATAATTATACTGACGCGTACGGCCCGTCGTCATCCCCCTTTTATAATCTTCGGCGCGTCTTGACTTCTCTCGTCGCGGTCCGCGGCCGCCACCTCCGCACCGCTCGCCCCCCCCGAGCCGCTATTATTGAGTACCTGTTGTACGGGTCTTCGGGTGTTTCCATTAGGGGAACGCTCGGACGATGCAACAGGCGCGTTTATTTAAATTTATCGTCGTGAATATTAAAAAAATGTTACGGCAGAACACGGGCGTTATCAGTGGCGCCCAAACTGTATTATACTTCGAGTGTAGCGGTTGTTATGCTAAACTCGACCACTCGGTATAGTGACTTCGGGAAAGTCGGACAGAACGGGTGTAAACATTCAAAAGTTTTGGATACGTTTAGATACCAACGGTTTTGTGGCGAGCGGTGGTTTTTAATATCAAATTCCGGTCCACCGTACGAATATTATAGTTTGGGCGCTACTGGACGTTATAGTAGCAGTGTACTGTACGGTTCGGATTTAACGTCATCGTTTATCGATTATAAGTATGGTAGGCACATTAATTTTTTTCGGTTTAGTGGACCGCCGTGTTCGGCATTATAATGTTATTATTATTATTATTATTTTGTTTTTCACGGTCGCGTGTTTACGGAAAAAAAAAAAATATATATATATATATATATATGTATATACCGTTATCGAAAAACGGGTTTGGCGGCCGGAAAAGACGCGCGCGCGAACGATGAATGTAAAAAAGTCCGATTTATATTTTTAGTACCTACGCCTCGCATCCGTTTTGGATTTACTGTTGTTGTTTTTGGTGTTGTTGTGTGTACGCGCACAGTCTGCCAGCCCGCCTCTTGTTTGTCGAATACCTCTGGGTAGGCCTCATCATAATCTCCTCCGCATTATAATATTGTTATAATTCTGGTACATCGGGTTTTTTTTTATTCTTCTTCTGGGGGTGATTGACGCCGTATACACGCGCGGCGCGATATAATATCAACGAGTAACACTCTTTACTTTTTTTTATTCTTCTTCGAGTGTTCACATTATAGTCGAGAAAACAAACGAGGTCTACACATATATATTTATATAAAGATTACCTTATACCAATGTTCATTATATAGGGGAGTCACGAAAAATCTCATTTGCTTTCGTCGCAACCACTAATCCCAAGCTTTCCGTGTATTTTTCGTTTTCGTGTATAATACAGCATGTGATTGCATACATTAATATAAGATGTGAGTCTTTTTATAACACTTAAAAACTACATACTGCTAAAGTATGCTCTAAAAAGCAAAAGCTGTAAAATACGTAAATATATGCGAAATACAATTGAGACATTTGATTCCTTTACATATTACGTGATTGAACGGCATTTATGTTTAACACTGCTGTTTTTATAATCTTTCAAAGATAATATGGAAATGCTAGAAGTACCTAACTTTAGTTATAACTATTAATAATGTTAAAATAAATAACATGGAAAAAAAAGTTATCCTGATTCAGTTGATCCATTATTCTGATCCAGATTTTATTTTTTTTTTCTCGTTGCGGTAGTGTTGGAAAATATTTCAGTAGTTAATCAAATTTACAAATTTTTTTTCGGGCGATTCAGTATCAACCGAAACATATTCGCATATAACCGTAAACTTAATCACTAAACCGTCTACAACGTCAAAACATGCCTATAATAATTATTGTGTTTAGTATGTGTTCGACAAAGAAAGATAATATCGATATCTAACCATTTTAAATAGATTCTTATTTTTAGCGCCATATTCAAATTGTTCGTTTTTTTTTTTCAAGTGATTTCGACACTTACCATTTTTGTCCGTCTCAAAAATTATCTGAGATGCACCCGTCTAAAGTTTTGTTTAAAAAAAAAAATGTGATTTTCCAAACAAATTAAAACGCTTGTTATTGTATGGTTAACTTTTCCTCGTAAAACAGCAATCAAATTTCTTCACTTTTGAATTCTCCTTTTCTGAAGGTAATAGATATGGCGGGGAGCGATCGAATGGTGATTTAAAAGATAACGATTTTGAAAAGTGTGTTGTCAAAACGTGTGTTTCGATATCACTGATCTTCCTGAAGAAAACCCCATTCTGTCTGTCAGTCTATCCGGCTGAAATATTTCGTGTTAATTACCATCATTCGAGTGGTGATCATAATGTATGTATCGTGTTTACAAATGAGTAATATTACCTGCAATAAACTTATCGGAACACATGTGTATGATGTAACACTCGATTTCGTTAAATAAAATACAAATATATACAACAATTGTTAACCGTTATTTTTATTTATTTAGTTTTTAAAAGGTAGTTCATATATATATAATCACTGTAGGTACACCACGTCGATTTAGATAAATTATATTGTATACCTATAATAGCTCTTATACTCGCCAGATTTTTATTACCCGGCTATTTACCTAATATCATACTCGAGGGTTTTTTGATGTTTTAATTTACACTGCTTATCGCTATTCTATTTCAATAAATAAACAGTGATCAATATTTCCTTATCGATTAATATACTTGTATAATATATAGGTACATACTAATTTATTTTAATTATACAGTCCAACTCGCGATATAACAAAGCTCGATACAACGAATGAAACTGTCGTTCCCTTAAAAATTTCGTGACTTTACGAAAAATTAAATATATATTATTCGATATAAAAAAAGTTTTTTTATATCGAAGCTCTCGCGATGTAACGAATTTTTATAATTTTGGAATTTGATATTACGAGGTTTTTAATTCGTGTTAAGCCAAGATACACGTCTGCTAGTGTACAATGACGCAACGAAAAGTATGTAGCTAATAAAAAAAAAAAAATAAATAGAATAAATTACGAAGTTATTCTAGCACACATAAAGCAGGAAATTATCGCTTAATATGTCGATAAGTGTATAATGCCTCTACTAAAAATGTACAGAATTATGCTTTACATTACCGTTCGTTACGTTATCGTTCAGTTTTCGTGGTCGTGTCAAAAGCGATTGCACGCTGGAAAACACGTCGCATCCATACATTTGAACATAATATGTTTTACATGTTATTGTGATTTTATTATGTATGTAAATATTATCAAACGTAAATAAATACGTATTTATAATGTATTGGTTTTGAATTTTTCTTTAAATCTCGTTAAAACGAATTTTGTTGGTTTATGCTCTTGATATAACGAATTTCGACGTATCGAACTTTTGGTTTACCGAACTTTTTTCTCGGTCCTCGAAATTCATTGTATCGCGAGTTGACTGTAATACTTTATTTTAGGTTCTGAACAAAGCGAAAAGGCTATTAGTTTTCAGTTTGTTAAAATGTTCAGATTTTTTTTATGTCATACCTTTTGAAAGATACTGATTTCTATGTCTGATGGTACTTTGAAAAATTGTTTAAAATTCTATTACTAAATAATAATTTCCTATACTTTTAGTTTTTTAAAAAAATGTAAGCATCAATTTTTACGTATGTACTTCAAAAGATGACAAATTTTTGCCCTGTGGTAATTTTTTATATTTTTTAGTTACCAATATTTCAGTGGTTGCGGGAAATTTTTTTTACCTCGAATCACCGATTTAATTTTCCACGCACCCACCCACCTATCAAAAATACTCCCACTCCACAACACCTTGTCCGTTATCTACAACTTATTGTATTTTTTTGCAATATTTTACAATTTCTTTGGGAGTCTTCAATGAAATTCATCAAATCTCCGACAATCTAAAATTCTTTTAATGACTTTTGTTTTGTATGTTTCGATTATTTAATGACAAAAACATTGACAAATGATTAGGAATAAAACTCATTGGATTATAGTAAAAATATATTTTTAACTTGATAGTATATTTTTATGCTATAAACATTTTAAAGATTTATTTGTTTTTGCACTTTTACTTTTGCGTTTGTTTTTTTGTTTACGATCTCGCGTCGTCGTGCAGTCTACAATAGAACCACGAAATGTATTTTACTTTTTATTTTATTGTCTGGTTATTAAATAATATGTCTAACGCGTAGAACTTTTTATGTTTGTTCGTCATACCATACGCGTTTGTATTTTACTTCAAACAAGTTTAACTTAACAGAAATCTACAAAAAAAAAAAATAATAATAATTAAAAAAAATATGTTCTTTAGTCAGGTAATATTTTGTACGGGTAACGTGGATATCGATGATGGCGTTCTATTTCTATAGTCGTTAGTTTATTTTGTGTTATTTTAGTGCGACTTGGATGGAAGTTTTATAATGATGTAATAATCGTTAGTTTTTATATATGTGATATTTGTTCTATACATAATATTTAAAATCCGACAACACGGACGGCAATGGGCAATTAAAATTCTAGTAAAGATTTTTAAATACAATATTAGAGATAGAATAGCTTCTAATAATATGTTTAATGTTCGTATACATTGTATACAATTATAGTTGATCGATAATATTACTGTATAATATTTAGTTTTCACGAGTGAAATATTCTGTAACACTGTATAAGCAGAATAAGTTTATATTAGTTTACCGCTAAGTTTTTACCTAAAAGCTTTAAAAATACAAATCGATTGTCTATCGGAGAGTCGACGAATAAACCGCGTGGTATATAATTTTCGCAGGTGTGTTGGTAAAAAACTAAAAATAATATACGAAACTGAAATTAGAGTTAAATTTTAATCGAATATTGGGGTTATGCGCCGTGTGTGAATATAATTTAGGTTTTCCGGTACAGTTATACGAGTACGTATTAAATATTTCACAGTAGGGGTTGGTATATAATTTGAGCCACCGTAATATTAAATATTAACTTATTGTTCTGAAATGTATATGGATATAGAGGCAGTTTGGAATCGGTTCTATATATGTATAGTGCATAGGTATATTTTTGGGTTTGAAATAAAAAAAAAACTTCATAAGGGAAAGACTGTGACAGCGAGAGAACTATCAGTAGGGTAAATCAATGCGTTTATTATATAGTTAGATATTTAGAAAAATAATAATTGAAATTACTTAAAGTATATTATTCTTATATGGTCGTTTTTAGGAAAAAAAAGTGAAATATATTTGTTTAATACGTGTTCTTTATCGAGTGAATTCTACAAAATGGTAGTTTTAGATATTGAGTGCGGCAAAAAAGCTATTCGTTTTTTCATTTTTCGCAAAATCGTTTTTGGTTTGATCAAAATGTTCAAATTTTGTCATGTCGTATTTTGTAATTTTCGTCTAGTGATATTTAATTTAAAAATTTCGTGATTCCTGAGATATTTTCCAAAAACAAAAACAAAAATGCTTTTTATTAAAGATTGGCCGATACCATATTTTACCTGCATCCGATATTTAAAATCGAAAACAACGAGTTGATATTGATATTAATCGATGTAGGTATATGTCGAGAACCCGATTTTTCAAACATATTTCAAAGACAAAGATATTTTTCTCTGAAAATATCAGGTCGAATATCGGTTTAAAAAAACAAAAAACAAACTCATACCACCGATCAGAGGCGAACAAAGGGAGAAAAAACACAATTAATACTTGAAGTTAGATTGTTGGTGATTATTGAGGGCCAGTTTACCGAGTTCCGCTCGAAATCTGTTTTTGAGTGTAGCAATGATTTGTCAGTGCTTTCAACATAATATAAACTAAATTATTATCCAATGTCCTATACCTCCTAAACTTCTCACCTTGTCAAGTATGTTCGGCTTATTTTTATACCTACTTTATTATCATATAGGTACTGTAATATATTTTATATATTTATAGACGTTAAAGAATGTAACGAAAAAAAAATAATATACAGGTACGCTTTTTACCGGTTTCACGCCTTTATTCTCGACAATTGTTTGTAATGTAATATTATTTCCCCTGTCACCCTTCGGAGCGTAGTCTCTTCCAGAGTTTATGATGAGTTACTTTTTTACCTACCTACCTGCCGGGTCTCGCGGTGTCTGGTCGTAAATACAATATTATTATTACTATTATTTGAAAAACACCGAGACGTCTAGTGGTTTCACCCTAAAATATTGTATTGCTTTATGTTTATAATTTGGTGAATCATAAAACGTCCAGGAGACACAGCCCGTGAGATAGAAACGCTACCACCGTATAACCGGTTTATGTTTAAAAAAAATTAAATCTGTACCCCGTCATCTGCTGCCGAGGCGTTGTAATTTAAAAATTCCAAGATCTGGTTTCTCGGCCACCAAAGAATAAAAAAAACCGAATGTACTTTTAACGTCGGCGTATTGTTATTATATAGAGGTGTATCCGTTCGACCCTTATTATTGGGGGTTCATCGAACTTCAGATGACCTCTCTAATAACACACACAATATTTTATAATATACTCGGTAAGGTTAAGATTTATTAAAAAAAAAAAAAAAAAAACACGTCCTAGGGAGTCGGGTGCAGCCACTGTTATAAGTAGTTTAATATACACCTGTAAGCAACGATAAACCATTGCTAACGAAAAAACTATTCTGAGCGGAATTTAGTTGATAATGCTGCTTTGTCAACAATATATATGTCATTTTTTAGTAAAATTCCAGTTATTCCAATTCCAAAATTATAACGGATACCATTTTTTTTACGTTTTTACCGTTTTTTTTCGGTTTTTCATATTCGTTGAGAAAACTCCTGAGGAAATCGAAAAACATACTTTCTAAAGTATCTCCCCAATGAAATTTCTTTTTAAAAAAAATGCTATCATTATAAATTGGAGCAAAATTGCTGGTAGAAAAGTTGTCCACACGAAAAAAGAAAAAAAAGAAGGCCATAATATTTTTAGCTAATACTTACATTTCTTACATTTTCCCGTTTTTCCAATGTTTTTTTTTTTCGGTTTTTTACATTTGTTGAGAAAACTCTTGAAAGAATCGAAAAATTACCTCCCCACACCGATTTTCTTTAAGAGAAGGTGTTACGCATAAAAATCGGAGCAAGATCTCTGGTAGAAAAGTTGTCCATAGAAAAAAAAATAAACATCTTCGCTCCACTCAGAATCTAAAAAAAAAGGTCTAAATTAAGTCGATGAATATTTTTTTCAGTGCACCTACTTATATTTGGACGGTTTTTTTTAAAAAATTATTATTATTCATTTTTGGTAATTGGAATTCGTCAATAATGTTTTTTACTTAACACTCTCTGTCTTATCTTAACGTTTATATAGAACTAAATGAATGAATTACTTGCACATCAAAATTGTCTAATTGATCTCAATTCATAATTACACCTCTAGGTCGCCACATGTTTTCACTTATTCAATATATTTCTGTCTTAAGACCCTTTTATCTGTCGTGAAATATTTCGATAACCTATTACCCATTGAGTTTTCAAATTTTACTAAGACCGTATTTTTTAAAGCTCAATAAAATTACTCGTTTTATTTTGTTGGAACCCATTATTTATTATATAATTTATGTAATACATAATTACGTTAATTTAAATTCGTTCCTTACATTTAGTATATTGCAATAGACTTTTTTTACTGTGTTATTGGTTATTATTATTTATATAAATTATAAGAATTCAGACTCTACAATAATTTGAATTTATTATTTTAAAATGTATTGTTAATTTGAAATTATAATACACCTTACCTGTCTTATAATTCACATAATATACTCACTACATTTATGTACAGATTAAATTGTAATATTTTATAATTTTCAGCTTTGAAAAGTAAATTTATAACTTTTTATGCTTTCAGGATGTTGATGATTTTTCCGTTTCCTGTACACCTGGTTATATGGATCCAAGTAGTTTCATGAAATCGGTATATTTTTAAAATAAATATTAGTTATGAGTTTGTAAATTATAATTTTGATAATGATTTATATTATTGAATAACATTTTTCATTAATTATGCATGCTTTTTAAGTAATATACATAATTACATACAATACAATTTTTTTGATCATAATTGTTTGGTCATTTCACATTTTAATTCAAAAAGATTATACCAATTTACCTACTTATTTAGATTATAAATTAATATAATTTATTATTTATTTTAGTTAACTGTAAAAGCAACATATGATTACGAGGGTCAACAAATTGATGAATTGTCTTTCTGCAAACATGCTGTGATTACTAATGTTGTGAAACAAGAAAAAGGTTGGTGGCGTGGTGATTATGGTGGTAAATTGCAGCATTGGTTTCCAGTTAATCATGTGGAAGAATTAGTAGAGGAAACTCATATAGAAAAACCTGATAGTGCTGTAAGATATAGTGTGATTTTTGGCAAAATAGATTAAATAAGACCTGTATATTTTTTAAATTTATTATAATGTTTATTGTTAATATATCGTTCAAGTTAATTTTTTGACCTGTGGTACAGTATATGATGTTTCAATGATTTACCATCAGTGATATTATGTCATGAAACAATGTGTTGTATCGAGAGGATAAACTGAATTGGAAATGATAACAAAAAACATTATTATCATAATTACAAATCTTTCCTTGTACTAAAATTATGTTTTATAACTGAATTTGGTTATAATAAACAGATTTTTTAAAAAAAGGCATGGTAGAGATATTTTAGTGTTTACTGCAAAATAAATTGTTAATTTCCAAATACTGAAATAACTTAAAATAGTAACCACTTTCAAATAAATTCAACTATTCAAATAAATAAATTCCCAAATTATTAAAAGTAAACTATATCTAAATTGTATGTATAATAAATAATTTGTTTCTATAATGTTTTAGTCAGCAGATTCAATGTTTTTGGGAAGTTCACAAAAAGGAAGTTTGGATTTAACAGGAGCTTTGGTTGAGATTGGCAAATTAAATCAACCAAAACTTGAGTGGATGATTAAAATACAAACCTCTAATGCGTGCACACCATTCGTTGTAGGTGCAGTATCACGAGAACAAGCTGAAGAATGGAGAAATCTAATTGTTGAGACAGCTCATAATGCCAGTGCAAGAGTAATTGAACAAATTTTATTAATTTTTGTTATTGTACTTGTATTTACATAATATATTTTATTTTTTGGTGAAGGAGACAGAAAATAAAAAAATGGAACGCCAGTTAAAGATCGCTAAAGAAATATCTGATCTTATTATTTATTGTCGATCAGTAGCTTTTTGTATTGAAACACAGCGTGAACGTGGATTTTCGCATAATGAAATGTCTTCATTTCCGGAGAATAAAGCTGAAAAGCTTATGTGTCACCAAGAGAATAAGTTCTTCTTTCGTTATCATCAAATTCAATTTAGTAGAGTGTTTCCTAAGGGTCAGCGCATAGATTCATCTAATTATTCGCCTATAGCTATATGGAATACAGGATGTCAAATGGCAGCTCTTAATTTTCAGTCCCCAGGTTTATGACTAAACTTATTCAAATTTTGAACTTTTATACTTAATTTTTTTTTTTGTATTTAGATAAGGCAATGCAATTAAATCAAGCAAAATTTCGTTTAAATGGCGGTTGTGGATATGTTTTAAAACCTGAATATATGTTTGATGAAACTGATGCAATGTCTAATACTTGGACAGACGAGATATTACAAATTACCGTTTTTGTTATTGGTGGTCGACATGTTGGTAGACCAGGTCGTAATGGGATTTCTAATCCATTTGTTGTTGTTGAGATTTATGGAACTGAAAATGATTCTGGCTTAAAACTAAATACTCGTTCAATACGTATGTTTAACTGCACATCCACTACAAATTAGGATGCTATCTTAATTTGGGATTGTAGTTGTAACTAATCAATGTAACAATATTATATTTTTACAGACGATAATGGATTTAATCCTGTTTGGAATGAATCAACTGAATTTACAATTATGAATCCTGCAGTAGCGTTTATTAGATTTGTCGTTAATGATCTTGATATGTTTGGCGATGCTAATTTTATTGGACAAGGCACTTATCCGGTTTGTGGTTATTCTACTTTTTTTTTTTTAATTGCTGATATGTAGCTTATGTAGATTATTGTATTATTTCAGATAATTACATTGCGGTCAGGTTATCGGAGTGTTCCATTAAAAAATGGGTTTTCTGAAGAAATTCCATTGGCATCACTTTTAGTACATATCTCATTCAGAAGCAAAACTGTTAGTATATCAAATACAGAAATACCTATATTTTGTTTAATTTATACAAAAATTATTATTTTGTTGTGCGTAATAATTGCTAATTAGGTATTATTTTTTTTTTTCACTATTTGTATTATGTACTTCCAAAATGTAATGTCCTACAAATAGGCAAAACAAATTGCATGCAATTATTTGTGTTGGTATTTTAGTGGACATTCAACTCCTGCCATTTTAATGTTTTTGTAATATTTTTGTTACCTATAATTTGGTTAATCAAATATATATTTTATTTATATTCTAAATAATATGCACACAATGTTTTTTAATAATTGAATGATATAATATAGAGGTTTCAAAATACAGTTATTAAAAATATAAATTTAACTTAAAATTAGTATTAATGTCTATTAATTAAATATTATTAAGTAATATTTCATTATATGTTTTTAGGGTTTGTTATCATCATCTGAAAGTGTTGTTACATCGCCGTCAGAATGATCAAATATAAATTTCAAATTGTAAAAAGGCTGAAATATAGAAATAAAACGCAACTCATCTTGTCTGTTTTTCGTTAAAATTATAATCACAAATTTGTGTACGTATAGACTAATTCTTACCTACTTAATTATATTTATTGGTTCATAATATAATAATAGTTAATATTTTGTTAATATCTAAAATGAATTGTATGTAGGTACTGTTGTTGATTTATGTGGATGTTTTAAGTGCAGTTATAATAGTGCGTGTTAAATTCACATTTATTAAATATTTATCTTTAATGATAATGCAATTATATTAATATTGTGAGGCACCAACAATTTTAATACAAATGTACACAGTAAAGTATTTTATTTTATCACAAAATGCTTATAATTATTAAACATTATTCAATGCCACTGAGAGTTATTTTAAGTTTATAAAACAAAAAATAATTAATCGAAAAATATATCCATAGTATTTGTTACTTTTTTAATTTCTCATATATAATATTTATTTATGCAATGTATTAAAAATTCATAGAATAAGTATTTATTTTTGTAAGGAATATTAGACATAATATTTTTATTTATATTTATACACATCACAAATTGACATGCATTTATATATTATATATATATATTTTTTTACCTAAAATACCAACAACTTTACATTGGTATTTTTTTTCAACTATAAATATTTTATTTTATACTATAGATAATGATTGATATTATATTAAATGTTAATTTTGTAATAATATATTAAGTTTAATAATTTAAATGAATATAATCAAAACAAATGCACTGTGTTTATTATTATTGTTATTTTTTTAATTGGGTTCGATTAGTGTTGTAGTCAAAATATTAATTATTCAATCATTGAATATTATGATTCACATTTATTTATTGGTGGTAACACTATAATAATACTGTTCTATTGTCAATGGTATTAATATAAAGTAATATGTATACATTTTTTTCGATTAATCTAAATGGTTATGTTATTTTATGTTATGTTTTAGTGTTAAATTCAAAAGTTAAGATATTGGGTGTTTTTCCTTGGCCGTAACATGTTATAGAAAATAAAATTAGACAGCAATCAAGTGTACTTAAAGTATTCAGCATTTATCAGTATACTTTGCAGCTGAAAACAATTACATTAAAAGTTCTATTAACGGTCACCTCTAAAAGACAGTCACTTCTATGTAACGGTAATTTTTTTTTAGTCCTGTGTGTTTTAGTCTTAGTGTTATGCCTTTATAGGACTCCTCTTAAGGACAATAATCACCTCTAAATAGTGGTCATTATTTCCAGTCCCTTCGGTGACCTTTTTATAAAAGTTTTACTGTTTCATACAAATTCAAACTGATTTTATATTTTTAGAATGACAAATCAAACATTTAATTCTGATGCAAATTCAATTTGACAAATCAAATAAAATTTAATGTAAAAGAAAATGAAATCTTAAAAGGTAAACTTTCACTTATGCAACCTTTATGTTTAAATGTCTTTCATACATAAATATTTCATATGATTACATGATCATTTTTGCGGTAGTTGGTACATGTATTTATGTTTTAATTTGTGTACAAAACTTGTTAAATAACAAGTATCATACAATTAGGTATGTATATTTTTAATGAGTAATGACTAAATACTTGACTTAGGAGTTGAGGTTTGTTATTGATACTTTATTATTATATTTATGTATTCTTATTATTAGTTGGACTAGACATTTATATACATTCAGTTATTTTATGAGTTACATAAAAGTTTAAATAACATAATGTTCAATGATTCAAAATCTCAATAATTAAAAAAAATATTTTACAAAAAAGAGCTATGGCGCTGTTTTAGGTGGTAAAGTACATTATTATATATTTTCTCTAATAATATCTAATTAATTTGTAACTATTTTCCTGTTTTTCTTACCTTTTTTACTCATTTATTGGAAAACTCTTGGAAAATCAAAAAATGACCTCCTTAAAGTACTACCCCAGTCAGATTTCATTTAAGAAAAAGTGCTATTATTGTAAATCGGAGAAAAATTGCTGGTAGAAAAGTTGTCCATAGAAAAAAAAAATAAGCATCATTGTAAAACCAATATATTCCTTGCTCTGCTAAGAAACTAATACACGGTGTTCAAATTCATCAAATAAACAAAACATTTTTTCAGAAATTATGCTACACTTGAAAATTGGTGCAAGAAAATAATAGATAAATATGATATGATAATAGATAAAAAAAAAAAGGCACTTATCATAGTAAAACCAATACATTTCAAGTTAAACTCAGAATCTAAAACCTCATAAATATTCGTATTTACGTTTTAATTATTTGTCAGCTTATAGTTTACATTATCTAAAATTACAAACAGTCCATTTGTGTGGTATTTTATGTGCTAAGCATGATAGTGTCAATGACAGTTCGAAGGCTATAGTCACTGAGATTTATTAAATATCAATATTTAAACAAGAATTCAAGTGTGTACTTACCACAAACACTTCATTTATATCAATAATTTATTACAAAGAATAAAAATAAAAATATAAACATAGTAAACAAATTGAATTAAATTGAAAAAGTGGCCTGACTGATCTCATGTTTACAGTATTCTTTTCATTTCACTATTTAAGTTGAGTGTGTTAAGTTCAAATTTTGACAAGAAACATGTTCAAGTTTTAAACATTGTCAACAAAAACAAAAATCCCCTAAAGCACTTAACCCGTATACAGAGTTTAATAGAGTTTTAAAATATTTCATAAAATGACTAGGTATAGAAACACTATAACTTTTTTTTTATTTCAGAGATGTATTTTTATTTTACTTAAACAATTTTAAAATTCGTTCATGTGCTCTTTTTGTATTTAGTAATTAATATTTCATTTTAGATTCTAAGTGGAGTAAAGAAGCTTATGGTTTTACAAAGAAGTTAATTTTTTTTTTCTGTGGACAACTTTTTTACCACAGATCTTGCTCTGATTTTTAAGTATAGTACCTTTTATGGAAGGAAATCCGTGTGGAGAGGCACTTTCATATGGTCATTTTTCGATTTTTTCTGAAAATTTCAAATCAAATGTGAAAAACCGAAAAGACCTAGGAAAAACAGAAAAATATACGAAATATATTAGTAAAATATTACGAATTTTTTTTAGTGGACATATTTTCTACCAAAATTTTGCTTCAATTTACAATAATAGCACTTTTTTTAAAAGGAAATCTGACTAAGAAGGTAATTTAGGGAGGTCATTTCCCGGTTTTTCACATTTACTGAGGAAACTCCTGGGAAAATATTTTAAAAGAAAATATATAATGCTTATTTAATTATTTTACCATAATACGACACATATATTGTTGACAAAGCATCACTATCAACTGAACTTCGCTCAGTATCGTTTTTTCGTTAGCAATGGTTTATCGTTGTTAACAGATATATATTAAATTCCTTTCTGTATCCTACCTTCTCAATTTCCCACCTATAACAGTGGCTGCACCCGTTCCCATTAAACTAGGACATTTTTTTTTTAACCATAAGTGTGGCTGAAATCACATCATTCCAATCACACTAACTATTTAACCAGCAAACTGAGTACACACCAATTTTTGTTAATTGTGATAAAAATTACCTAAGTACCTACCTATTATCTGTGTAGAAAATGTATGATTATTCTAAATTTATTTGTCTATGGTGATTTACGCGGGGGAGGGTGTTAAATTAAAATTAATACATTTCCTTAAAATATCTTCTATCATCGATAGGATGTGCTCTATATGAACGGAACGTATAGTGCCGGAATGCATTTCCTTGGAATTTAAAAACTAAAAACCGAATTTGTCTTTGTTATCTTATTCCGGAAAAGATAAATTCGAACCGTATAATCCCGGAAACAATTTTTCAGGAATTTAAAAAAATAATTACATAAATATAAATAATCGACTGAATAAATAAAATTGTACTGTCTAAGAATAGTTTATTTGTAGAAATCTATAAAAATTGATTTTTTTATAACTTTTTTATTCATATTATAAAGTTGTGTAACTCGGCCATTTTTTGTCCAAAAATATTCAAATAAGGTTAATTTTTTAATTTATGAAAAGACCTGGCTATCGGAACTTGGTTATAGATCAGTTTATGTACTGTATGTAACCGTAATGAGTTGAAAATTAAAAAAAAAATCTGAGGGTTTTTATAGATAAGCTATTCATATAACAGTAAAATTTCACTTGATTCCAAGTGAATTTTATTTTATTGTTTTTTTTTTTATGATCTTTAAGACAAAATTATGTTCAACCTCGTAAATTTTTGAACTTAATGAGTAGGTAAATGTGATCTAATTGAAAGTATTTTAACTTTCTTATATGATTTTAATGGAAAAACTAAATATACTATAAGCAAGTTTTAAAAATCATTATTTTTTGTGTTAGTTTGAGACCACAAGGAAACAATTTCTAGTCTTAATTTGAAAAAAAAAAGTTCAAAATCAAAACAGCTTAGTATACAGGCTGTCCTAAAAAGATGTACCCCTTGAATATCTCCGGTGATAATAAAGATAATCTTAAAATTTTCTTAAAATAATAAAATAAAAAGTTAATTTTTTAATTTAAAAATGAATATTTGTAGTCCTCATCCACGTGAGTGTAATGTAAAAAAAAAATCAAAATTTTATTATCTTTATTATCTCCGGAGATATTCAAGGGGTATATCTTCGTGGGACAGCCAGTACATAGCTGGTGTTAGTGTAGAGTATTGTTATTATGTCAAAATAGTCATACAAGTTCCGTAATAAGCTGATATGAGCGGCTGACGGACGTACCAATTATGAACCGTCGGATTTCATTCTGAAATTGTATGTTTTTAAAAAAAAAAAAAACTACAGTATGTATTATCGCTTCAACCGATAGGTGTTTGTTTATCGTGTCCACAATACGTATCAAACATTATGAACGTCTGCCACCATCGGTAAACGTAATAAGCCTTTAATAGTAATAATCGCCGCGATGGACGGACACAATTCACGGACA